GTGTGTGTGTGTGTGTGTGTGTGTGTGTGTGTGTGTGTGTGTGTGTGTGTTCGTATAGCAGGTAGACAGATACCATTATCTGTCAGTAGTTGGCCACATTTGCATGTTGAACATTTTGTTGGAAAAATGGCGGTCCAGCTTCACCTGATGCCAAACAAGAGAAATAAATTCAAACATGAAAACCTGAACAAACAAACTGAAATCCTGACATTCTTTGATGGAACGCACGTTGCGTTAATGCCAGATTTTTAGACACAGTTTTAGTTTTATATTTAGAAATGACATACAGATGTGGCCCAAGCATTGTAAATAATGTTATGCTCATGCACTATGGACAGACATCTCGCTCAGAAGAGGTGTTGACATTTATCTGCTACCAAATAAAGTTTTAGCTTAATTTATGTAAAAATTAACTTTATTTCAGCATTTTTTGTATTGGATAAAATTGATAAGCTGTGGCAGTCATGGTAATCAGTTTTAGATGTGAATCTGAATGTTTCATTCAAATCAACGCAGTGATGCAGGAGATATTTTGCTAACAGACACACATGGCTGACCTCAATAGTTAATGCTTAAGTTTTAATCAAAGATTTGACTGAGCAGCACTTGGAGTAACTATGTTATATGAATGACTCTTGGCTAAAACAGCACCTAAATTTAGCTTCATATCTCTAAAACATGCTGGATTCGTGTTTCCATCAGCATATTTTTATGCGTATTTTGAAGTATTGCCTTAGAAAAAGTTGATGTAAACAGCAAATTTCTATAGCACATTTTGAAAAACATAAATGACATGGGTAAACTAAGGGCTGTACAATAAGACAAAAATAACATACGATGACAAAAGAAGCATACAACACATACCAAGTTTACATCAGGTGTGTTTTAATATGACAGGATCACAGTGTGTTAAAAGCCAACAAATAAAACTGTGTTTTTAAAATAGATCTAAAAACAGGAAGAGAGGAGGCTTGTCTGACACTCAGGGGTAAAGTGTTCCATAACTTGGAAACGACAACAGCAATATACAGTATGTCACCAAGCTTCTGCCTATAGTTTTAGGGACTGTCAGAGTTAATGCGCAAAAGGGAAGATGGAAACACATTTTCTGATGAAGTTCTGATGTAGCGAACGTTTACCTCACATGACTGATTAGCTGTTTCCTCCGTCAGCATTATCCCGGATTTTACCATAACACTTGAAAACATGGCTGGAAGCAACAAAGTCTCCAGTCAGCATTCAACATCACCAATACTAGTTGGTATGACAGAACAGTTACTACTTGCCTGATAAGAACACATTCCTGAAAACTTCTCTCCGTTGTTCCAAGATGCAAGTAGGGGTCTCTGCGGACGAGTGGGCGTCTCACAAGGAAAGGCGATTCTAAAGCGACACACCTGATTTGACGGACTTTGTTAAAAGGGACACACCTGACTGGACAAGAACAAAAGGGGTGTTACTGTACGGCACCACTTTTTCTGGAGAACCCTACTTGGGTCACATTTCTCCTGGTTAACCTTAGTGTTGGRGTCAGGGTCAGGCTGTAAAGAGATCAAGCAGGATCTAAGGACACCGTCATGTAGGCCTCGTAGCCCACAGTTTTTATGCTTTTGACACGCCCACTCTTGTGACACGTCCACTTTGGCTACGTTCACACTGCAGGTCTTAATGCTCAGTTCCGATTTTTTGAAAAAATCCGATCTTTTTGTGTGAACGTTCACATTACATTTTAAATGTGACCTGCATCAGACCCCTGTGTGAACGCTCCACAGCACTGATGTGACACGCATGCGCAGTAAAAGACGTGACGTCTCATCAGCCGGCTTCTTTGTTTACAGAGCTAGCATGGATGCTACATTTTGCACATCGAATCAGAAGTTGTTTAATCAGAGCCGATTAAATAATTATCTGACCTGCTTCTTTAGTTCAGTGTTTATATCTGAACCTGCCTCTGACCGGGATGCTCCAGTGAAGCTTTTTTTTTTTGAACGAAACTACGAGCTGGAAAAAAGTATCGACCAAGTATCTAACTTTAGGATCGATACTCTCCGCGACCCAGGCTGGACATGTTATTATCAAACTATCTACGTGGAAAATGAAAAGTAAAAAGATGAAGCAACTGGACTTGTGTTTTGGAGCTGTAAACACATGGAGCTACAGATTTAAACAGCGAGACTTGAGGTTAGTGTCTTATCGATCCTTCACCCCCTCCTCCTGATGAAAAAGTCAGATGAATGTGACATGAGCGTTCACACTGCAGTCACTTTGAAAACATCAGATACTGTATATATCCGATTTAAAACCACATACTGAAACGGCCTGGGTCGGATTTGAAATAATCGGATTTGTCTCGTTCAGACTGTCATAAAAAATTGGATATGAGTCAGATTTGCCTGCAGTGTGAACGTAGCTTTGATTCCGCAGATAACTCCTTCTCCCAGGATGTGTGGTCCCTGCAAGTTTGCGACTTTACTTCCTGTTCACTATAGTGATGTGTAACGTCCATGTCTGAAGTAATTACACTTTGCGTAGCCTGGTTGATTCGCTCCAAACCAGTAGACGGAAGCACACAATTCACCCACCCCACTTTTTTTGCAACATTTTAAAAGTTCGCTCAATGCTACATTTTAGTGAATAGTCATAGAGAGTTTCAATAAAATCTGGCCTCTGGTTCACAAAATATTTTGCTAGCAGGCAGATGCAGTTGTAATACCTATTGGCAAAAATTTAAACTGAATTTAAGATTAGACTCAAATACAACTACCCTAAAATTTAAGTCATCATCTGCTAAACTGGCTGGGTTCCAGCCATTCTTTTGTATTTTTTCAGGTCTGTTGGTTGTGGCAGCCATCTTGGATCAGGTTGAGTCAACAGAGTAATCAGCTGTACATGAATATATGATCCTTTTTTTGGCACGTTTCACTGCAGTTTGTCCTGTGGTTCATACAGATTTCACATCTGAACCATGATCCAGAGATGACACGTTACACAGGGGGAGGTATTGGAGAGGAAGTGACTATGGGTGAAGGAAGGCACATCTCACTGCTGTCTCTTCCCCGCAGCCAAATTAGCACGAGCACTAGATCTCCTTTATGGCACTGGCGCTGTCCGTGGTGCTGAAAAGATGTGGTTACACAGGCGGGTAATGTTGGAGCTGGACAGCAGGGAAGGAAGTGAGGATAAATCTCGAGGGTAAAATTGATATCTCAGCAAAGCTATTATTTTAGTCTTAGCCAGCCTGGCAGGAACACTGTGGTCTGAGCCCTTAAGGTGCTCAAGAGTGGCCTGTTCCCAAGGAAAATAAATTGCTACTATTAGTTAAAACGATCCAGTTTCAGAAAAACTTCTCATCCTTTTTGTTTCCAACTTAGAGTCAAGTGGTAATGGTGCTTACCATGGTGGGTTTGGTTTAGTTTAAGGTTAGATATTTCAACTTGTTTTAGCATTAATTGAAACATAATTATAATATCAGCGCCTGTGTTTCAGACAGATCATTTTATATGGAGAGTTGTTGGAGTTTTATGTTTTTTGGGTCAAATTTTAAAAATGTTACACAATCACAGGTGATAATATGATCTGTTAGCTCCTGGACAATGTGCTGTGGATGACTCTCAGATACCAAACTCATTTCTAACTCTAAATCTGTCAAATTCATCAAGTTAAAGACATTTTCTGGGACAGCCATGTTAAATTTGTTGGTGTTTGTTGGTGTTTTAAATTTAGTTTTTAATTCATTTTTAAGTGTTTTAAGTTGTTTTGATTTTTGTTGCATTTTACTTTTATTTTTGAACATATTTTGGTTATAAAAAAGGGGCAGATATAAGATTTATTCTTTTTCTGCTGCCTTTCATTTTATTTGATTTTATTATGATTGCATATTTTTTGTACTTTGTTAATTTGTGTTACAAATGAAATGAATGAAGTGAAATTGTCTCCAAACGTGAAACAGACAAACATCCAATCATCACTGTAGAAAAGTTTAGTCAACATCTATTCAGTGCATGAAATATTTTGCTAACAGGCACGTGGCTTTTCCACTAACAAGATGTAAAACTTCATATTTTCTATTCAAATTATACAAAAATCATGAGGAAATAATTCTATTCAAGAACGAATGAAGTAAAAATTCTCCGCGGGTCCTGAAGAAGCGGGAAAAAAAATGTCACCCAAGGAATTTTCATCAAATTCACCAAGAGGCCAGGCTCCGTGAGAGCTTAGATTATTGGGTGGCAGGCGGGCGCGCGCACACGCACGCACACACACACACACACACACACACACACACACACACACACACACACACACACACACACACACACA